CAGTTCTGATCCCAAATATTTAAAGCGCGTCAATTTCGTTATAAATATTACGCAATGCAATGGATGTAAATATTGTCAGAAATAAGCCCACTAGAATTGAAAGAACTACGGGGAAACTCCAATAACAAACCGTTATCAAACAGCTGATCGGGCCGCTCTTATCTCTTGCCCATTCATACAGAGAACAATAGGCAAGCGCAACACTAGTGAACTAACAGGTCGACTAGACTTCTTGATGCAGAACAATTCTTACAGAATATTCTTAATTAAATCGAAAGGCAGTGTTAACTATTTCCTACTTAAATAATTATAATCGAATAATAATAAATTATCAGAGGAAATGTATAAACAATGGTACAGATAAACACGGTGTATAAACGGTTAAGTTCGAAGTCAATTAAATTCCAATAAATATCCTGTAATTCTATTACACAAACGTAGTACGTTAAACAACAGTACTGACGTTTAATCGTATCTAGTTCTACGGTATACAACCAATATTCCACTGTAACGTCTCGTACACAACACTGATTATGGTAATGTTCGTATGTGTAATATTTATTAAATTCTGAGCCAAAACAATTAATTATCGACTATGCCTTCGGGCGCCATAAAAATATATTTAACATTCAATAGTCCCTGTTCGGATCGCCATTTGATATGACGAAATTTCGGGTTGAGAGACAAAATTGAGATTTTAAAGTACGTAATTGTCGTCTCACCTGAAATTCTGTCACACCTTAAATTTGTCCAGATAGCTTAGCCTACTATGAGATAGTCCAGGACTCTAACGTGTTCGTTAATTAATTATCGTTTCGAGTTTATTGGCTCAGAATATTAATTACAACAATAATGCTTACAATGTTAAGCTTACCTTCAACAAGTGCTCATCATAGCCACTCGAAAAATATGTAAAGTTAAATTTAGAATTTTGAATAACCTATCGAAATGCGAATAAGCCTAGTTAATTAGAAACTGAACTAAAACGTGATTCGGTCGTTATACTTGGTAATCACCAAAGTAAACTTGTCGGGAAAATTAGACTCGGTCGATCACCAGAGTCGGTACGGGGTTTCTTAAACCAAAATTTACGTAAGACGGCTCGGGGTAACGGGATAATCCCTACGGATATTACTCGGGTGATTTGAATAAATTTCGTGGCGAGTAAGAGCCGAGGGTATGTGTGCTGACGGCGGGAAAAAGCGTGCAAGTCGCGCGCAGCGCGCTTTTGCGGCACAATTAAAATAAAAATTAAAACTTCTCTACAACTAAAAATAAACGGAATCCTATAACGGTAGCACACAATAGTTAAGGGCTCCACCACCAAGGGGAAAACTTTATTTAACTCACCAGGATGACTCGGGTCTTTGCTAATTGTTGGATTGCTCCAAACAGCGACGTCCTTATCAATCTGAAGCCGGTAGACAACTGAACTCGAGGTCGGCTCCTCTGGCCCTTCTTCCCCATCGCTCCTGGCGGCAGGGTAGCTAACTAATTTCCTCCCCACTACGATGACGTAGGCCTGCTCCTTCGATGCCGTTGTCAACGCGGGCGCGGTTTACCCCGAACGAAAACTAATACTTCTAAATAAAACTTAAAAACGGCTTTTATCCCCTTGACGGCTTTTGGGTCGTTACAGTGTTTGCAATACTTTGAAATAGACTAGGCCTACTAATTGAACTTATTAAAGATAATTGTTATTATGATTTATTAAAGATTGTGGTAAAGGGAAACAATATCATAGTTAGTTTGTTTCAATACCATAATTCACCTAATAAAGGGATTAAATTAATTTAAGTACAGTATGCGTTCAGTGCAATGGCAAACATCCATTTAAGCTTTAACCTCAATACAAACACAATTAAAAAACCCATGAAAAAAAAACTATGAAGGGAACTAAAATAAGGTGATGTGTTCTAAAATAGAGACGAAGAAAGCAAATAATTTATTTAGGGTATGCCTAATAATGAGCTACAGCCTAAAACAAGCATCCATAGTAAATTTTATTTTGAATACTTATACAAGGTACTTTTGCAATCACTTAGATTAAGCAAGACATAACCTCAATCTCTCACGAACGGAGTTGACAGTTACCTCAGTGTCTCGAAATATGGTAGATTGAGATTAGCTGATTAAAGGATCCAGATTTTAGAGCAAGAGGTTAGATCGAAAATCGCAAGAACTCTGCATTGTGATTGGTTCAAAATGACATCATCTGAATTTTGTGCGGTCGTATGCATTCATTTCCAAACGAATCACTCAACTAGCGATTCCCAACTCACTTCTCAACTGTTGGATTACAAAAATACCAAATCCTGTTGTTGGTTGAGTTGAGTGTTGACGATTGACTCAACTGTTAACCATTTCAAAAATAGGGCCCCAGGTGTGAAGTAACATGTCCACTTTAGGGCCTTGCATCCTACGACAAAATTTACACCATCCGCAAAGTGACACACTTTTTCTCCCACTAGCCTGACGTCAAAAATTGGACATTCTATTACTTTTGTAAGGGAAACAATTATAATGGGTAAGGGGAGAGAGTAATTGTGTGGAAAGTACAAAAAATACAATAAAATTTTAACCAATACATTTTCAGCATTGGTGGCTGTTCCATTGTGTTCAAGTTTAAAAGTTCTATGCCATACTAAATTTACCAGGTCTATACATACATATCCTCTCCCGTTCTGGATATCTCCTGGTTTAGGTGTTCACTAGGCCTCTTATCTTCTTCTGTCCCTCCACAATTGGTCTTGAAATGCATCTAACATTTAAATGTGAAGTATTGTTCATGGTAAAAGTTCAATATAACCCACCCTAATAACAATTGCTTTATAATGTGTCCCCAGACTGAATTCTTCTCACTAAATCCAAAAATGTAATTGTTTTCTGTCGGAAAAAGTCCTGAGTTTCCGGGAAATGGTATTACATTTTAGGAAAATTAAGATAAAACCCAAGTTCTTGCAGTGACTAATACTTCAAGGGAAGGAAGGTATGAAGATTTTCTTTCTACTGATAGCCTTTTTCTAATTCAGCGTGAAAAATACTGGGTATTTTCTATAGTTTAGGTTTAGGCAGTTTACGGGGTAAAAAAAACCTTTTTTCTCATTATTTCATTCAACGATATTATTTTAACAGAAGTTAAATAGACTGCAAAACAAAATTTTTTCGGGTCAGATGACATTGACCAAAGAAAAGAACACTCTCAGAGTATACTAATAAAGTTCCCCAAGCAAAGCTCGGTCCCCAGGTACTTATAACAAACAAACAACAACAATCAAAATATTGAATGCTTAAAAATAATTATACATTTATTAGGAAGTCAAGTCTTCAGTGAATAAAATGCATTCTCCAGAAGTCATATCTTACATGTATTCTTGGCAATGTGTATCTAACAACAATTATGACATTGACATGATCATGTTTGTAAGAAAATAAGTTCTGGAATCTTTATAATTAATAGACTTCAACCTTTTTGCAATGTACAAACCCTTAAAACAGTTTACTATGCCCACATTCACTCCCATATAACTTATGGCATTGAAATTTATGGGGGTACGAGTAATCAAAATTTAAAAAGAATTTTATTATTACAAATGGAAGCTATTAGACACATCCTAAATTTAGAAAGAACCTCTAGCAAAAATTCTTTAAATATTTCAAAGATTTGGAAATTTTAACAGTTCCGTGTTTATACAGGGTGTCCCGGAACTCTCTACCAATATTTTAGGGCATTGATCCTGGGTAAGAAACGTACCTAAATATCATATTTAAATTGCCCAGAAGTCCTTAGTTACTCACACAGCCGCCATTTTGTTTTTTTCAGTTATTATTTTTTTTCTAAAGAATGGTTAAACATACGAAATTGAAACTTTGCACAAACATTTATGACAACTATATAAAGCTACAAAAAAATTATGACGATTTTTCAAATTCATAAAACAAAATGGCGGCCATTTAAAATTTTCTTTCTTAAATAACTCAAAAACCATTGATTTTACACAAATTTTAAATGGCCGCCATTTTGTTGTATGAACTTAAATAATCGTGATAATTTTTTGGTAGCTTTGTCTAGTTGTCATAAATGTTTGTGCAAAGTTTCCATTTCGTATGTTCAACCATTCTTTAGAAAAAAATTAATAACTGAAAAAAACAAAATGGCGGCTGTGTGAGTAACTAAGGACTTCCGGAAAGTTTAAATATGATATTTAGTTATGTTTCTTACCCAGGAGCAATACCCTAAAATATTGGTAGAGAGTTCCGGGACACCCTGTATATCTATAAAACAATTCTTTATGTAAAAAATAATGAATCAAAATTAGAGCGACAACAGGATATCCACAATTACAATACTAGATATAAACAAAATTTCACAATTAACAATCATAAAAAAGAAAAATATAAGCAAAGTCCTCAGTATATTGGCATTAAATTTATCCATCAACTCCCAGATGACATAAGGAAGGAGCAATGCACAATTAAATTTAAAAAGAAACTGAAACAATTTTTAATAGGAAATTCTTTTTATAGTCTGGATGATTTTTTTAACTTTAAGTAATGTATTAATTTTATCTAACTTTAAGCAATGTATTATTTTATCTAAAAACTGTTATTATAAAATCTTTTAACTTTATGTAATATATTCCTTTATGTTATTTAAAAATAACATAATGACGCATTCATGTACAATGTATCTGTACGTTTTGAATGAAGATTTTATTGATTGATTGATTGATTGAACATATAAAATTATAGACCATAATTGTACGTTCAATGCTATGGCAGAACACCACATTCCTGCTTACCACTGAGCTAATTGCACAGAGACAAATCCATTTATTAAATTATAGAAAATAAAAATTTCTGGTCACAAGAAAATTGACCATTTTCTTGCTTCATTTAATTCTAGCTACCTAAATTTATTTACAAGCCATACCTCACTGAAACATTGTCATGTTGATGTTGCCCTTTCTATTTCTAACATTTTGTATGAATATCAACAGATATCTCCCGAGGAAGAAGAAAGAAGGCAAGTCCGGAGAGAACGAAACAAACTGGCGGCAGCTAGATGTCGAAAACGAAGACTTGATCACACGAACGAATTGCTGGAGGTAACCATAAACTATTATTATCTAATGTTAAATTCTTTTTTGTTTCACATAAAATTATTTATCTAAAAAGATTAGTCATTGATGAGTTTTTTTTACAATAGGTTGATCTGCCAAAGTCAAACGGGAAAAATTTCCTATAGGCTACTGGGGATTTTACCACGTCCATTGGTTATAATTATATCATAGACCCTCCTATCAGATATATTGTCTCTCCTCTAGATAAATATATTGTCTCTGATCTAGAAATACACAACCCTTATAAGCTGGTATGGTATTAAATGAAATCATTGAATGATCCAATGATTTATAAAACCAACCCTACAGAATGTCCTATTTCAATTAATTTAGAGTGTAATACCAGCAAACCACACAGCTTTCAAAGCACTAGCCACAGAATGAATGGTATCTATAAGTATAAAACTATCTGCTACAAGTAAAGTGGCACCAACTTCCAAAGGGTGTTGGTTTATATATTTGTATGTTTGGCAGTGATAAACTCAGACACGGCTGACCACAAAACTTGGTACATACATTGTAGAATTTCATGGAATAGGTTTATACTAGTGATGGGACGGTACTTAATGTCAAATGTCAGTTCCACCGGTTCTTGGGAAAAGTACCAGGACCGAGAATCGATGGTGAAATGTCGGTACAGATACCTTCGGTACAAAGTTAGTAGTTTATATTTTTATTTACTCATTTACAAAATTCAAATTGTCAACCATGATGATTATTTCACTTAAGGCTATTTGAAAGGGCATGTTTATCATAAAATATTATCAATAGCAGGCAATATGATGATTATTTCAGTGTTAGTTGGTTAAATTGTCGTCGCTATCGTCAGCTGATAGAGTGGTGCAATCATCGACACCAATCGCTTTTTTAGGCGTAAATATTTATGTTTGTAATATTCAGGAGGTTATAGACCAATGTAAACAGTTAATAAGTTTTGTTGGAAGAACAGAAAATGCTTAGAGTTCAAAGAAGAAATATTGAAAACAGGAGACAAATTATAAGAGATCTTATGCGTATGAGAAGAGTAGAAGAGAGGTCTGGTCTAATAACAGTAAGGACTCCACATACACACTACCTTTGTATGTCACTTGGTGAGATGAACTGTAATATGCCAGTTCTGCTATGCAACTTCACATTGGAAGTGAATACACAATACACAAAAAATATACACATCTTGTTGTCATGGTAGTAAAGTTAACTTGCCTGATGTCAGGTCAAATGAATACGTTCAAGAAATGTGTACCGGTAACACTGACGGATCGAGATATTACAAAACCTAATTTTTGTTGGGATTTCTGTATTGGTGTTTGGGGATTTTTGACAATCATTACCTACTGTAGGCCCTACTACATGCTAGGCACACTAATTAAATTGTAGACTGTATCGAATTCATGGAAACAACGGCAAACATGAGAACTAATAATCCCTTTTTAGAATTTGATAATTTTATAAAACGGCAAGGAGATGGGGAAATTGGGTTGGAAGCCATTGTTACAGGAACAGGGATGAGCTGGCAACAACACCACAGAACAATGAGTGGTTTGGTCTTTACATTTTTATTGATTAATTCAACATTAGTTTATTTCAAATGTGTGAAGTAATGATTTGTTTGTTTTACAGGAGACAGAAGGCCTTGAAGACAAAAAAAATAGTTTGTTGCAAGAAATTGAACAGCTTAAAACAGAGAGAGAAGATTTAGAATTCATTTTGGAAGCTCACAAAGCGACTTGTCGGTTGAACAGATCAGACTCACCCCCAGATGTGAAGCCTTTTAGCCTCAATGCCAATAAGTTCTTGTTGGGATCTGCACCTGCGAAGATGGACCAAAAATCATTTGAGACCAAGAGACCACGGCCCACATCACTACCTGTCGCCCCTCGCAAAATGATCAATGTGGCTACGTCTGAGGTAGCCGGGGTACCGATCACCACCCCCACAGCTGGTATGCCTTTCAACTTTGACTCCCTCATGGACGGAGGCACTGGCCTCACACCTGTGTCTGGTCCTCTCATCCCCTCCTGCGCCACTCAGCAGCGTAGCGGCTGTGTTGATTTGTCCAGCCCTGACACATTGCCAAACAAGCTTGTCTCCCTCTGACATTAGGCCTCACAAATGCAACATATATTATTTATTTAAGTGTTAACAGATTATTAATAAATCAAATTTATATTAGGTATTATTGAATAATTGTAAAGTTATTGTGTTTATGAATGTAATATATATTGCTGAAGTTAATTAACTGTATCGGTGCTTCGGTACAGTAGGGTGCCTGGTAGCAGCCTAGTTGTACCGAGATATCGACTGATCTCATTTGTCGTAGATTTGTTTGCAGTTTTGAACTCTGCCTCCAGCATTTTATTTCTAGATAGTATATTTATAATGTATAGAGATTATTTACCATTATAAAGTAAGGAAGATAGAATAAACAATATGCCTGTGATGTTAAGCTTTTCTATGAGTTTGTTTGTCAATATGATGCCGCAATATAAGGAAATATTTTGCAATATGTTTTCTTACCAAAGATAAATTGCCACCACATGCCTTGTAACACACATTTGGAGGTATTTGTAAGATGAATAAACTTTTTTTATACAATTAAACGTGTTTTCACACTTTGATTTCCTAATCCTTCTGACATGTTTTGATCTATTAAAAAGTAGCGATGGTTAAAACCCTGAAATTTTGAATCTCATAATAGAAACTTAAAAAATCATCAAAGCCACATTTACACAAGGCCAGTATGTTTGCCACAGTCCACTTCATTTTAAATGTACGCATACACCAACACAACCAGTAATATTTCACAATTAAAACACACCCAATTGGTCTGGAAGCCAGCTACTGAGCAAGTGGAAAAATCATCGTGTGAACGAATACAAGCGCACTCAAAGACTGGCCAGCTTCTTACACGCTGGCGTGTAGCTTGTAACTCGCCCCTTGTGAACAGCGGCTTAAACGGTATTGGCAAACTGACACATCTTTATCCCGTTAGCTTGTCGAAACCCTTATAATAGTTATTACTAGTACGAACAGCAGAGGACCAAGTATAAGCAGCAGAGGAACACCCCCTCAGATCATAAGTCATCAACCTCAACATACTGCAGCCTGTCTCACAGATCGGATCCCAGCCAGTCCAATACACTACATACAATACAATTTTTAAGCTTTTTAACCACTGTTTTTATTTATATTTATATTACAAACTACAAGTCAGTATTAAGTCATCAGATATAGTACAACAAATCTTTGATACCTTAGGAAATAAAAAAGTATACTGTACATACATATTTAACAAAAAAAAATCACTAATTTTCTGAGCCAAGTGATGGTTGAGTTATCCGGACTGCCGGGTTATCGAGTGCTGAGTTTGCAAGACTACTGTACTAATTTAAAAAAAATTGAAAAGTGAAAATTTTTTTAAATTTTATACTGAATCTTAAGACAATACTATTAAAAATCAAGATTTCAAAAAATGCCTGTTTGGAGATACCCACTTACAATTAGTCTCAGAACATTCCAAAATTTTATCAAAATCGAACTGTAGGCGTAGTCTGTAGCTCTGTACACAACATCCACACACATAAACGCAAAATGGACATCTCCCTTAAGGGTCCCAGGTCCCAGGTTTCTACCCCTCATTAGCATGGAGACCCTCCAACCGCTCCTGCCGAGAGAGGACAGGTCTAGTTGCTAAAATACCTCATATGCGGGTTTACCTCTTGGAAGCAAATAAGTTTGCGTTTCAGTTGCATTACAATATACATTACTAACCAGAAAATACAACATTGTTCTAAACGTATTTTATCTGTAATATCATCAAAATGCTATCCGAGAAGTTATTTGGTATGTTACTTGTACATATGATACAATCCAATAGACCAATCATTTTAGGATACCAGTAATCCTTCTTTTTAATATCATCCACACTTTGTGTGATAATACATGTATTTATATATAATAGTGCACTTTGTAATGTTTCAATTTAGCTTGACCATTTGGGCTGTGTTGTGCCTGGGCTGGGTTGGGTTTTGGTTGGATCAATTGTGATTGGAGTGGGCCTATCTCGCATTTTTCATGGTTTGGGTATTTCTTGATGTTCTTTAAATTACTAATGTGGCAATGTTTCTAGTAGTTTGTTTTGTGAATGGTGGCAATCAGGAATGTTTCTACCCACTTACCGTACCTGGGTTGGCTTACCCACTTACCGTATTTGGGTTGGGTTGTCCATTGTAAATGTTTCAGCAACGCAATTACAGTTGTGAATGTACATTACTATTTTATTTCACACACAGGGGGATGAACATGTAAATGTAACAACTAACTAAGTAGTTAAAACATATTTATTTGTTGCATTTATTGAATGTTTGTTTGCTGGTTTGCAATGGATTCTCTGACGGCTCGAGCTCCAGCCGACAGCAGCTGATGGATCAACGACGATCAAGCGGGCAGCGATGACGTCAGGCTGCCGGAAAAGGAAGATAACTTTTGGTGGAAACATCTGGGTTTAAAGTTCTAGAACATTCCATGGTCTCCATAGCAACCAAATCGGGTATAAATACAGCAGTCCACGGGCCAGTCTTCACTTCACGAGTTGACAGTCAGCGCTGCGGGTGTAAACCATTTGCCAGGCGCAAATAAAACAATAATTAATAGTAATCAAATTTGTATTTGTGAAAGAAAATAAAAACAAGGAATAAGGTCAGTCCCAATTGTGTACTCATTTGAAATATTAATAAGGTAATTTGAATTAGATAAGTAAGTAGGATAGAAATTAGAATAGGCCTACACACAAAGTATTTGTCAGGCCCCGGCAGACCGCTGGTGCTGCGGCTTTAACACTCAACACTCACGCACATTCGGTAGTTGTCTGGCACCTTTTTAAAGAGTGCTGCGACCGAAATAACACTTACAAGTAGTGGCAATAAACAATTTGACTCCATACAAAGCATTTGTCAGGCCCCGGCTGACCGCTGGTGCTGCGGCTTAACACTAAACAAGCACGCATATTTGGTAGTTGTCTGGCACCTTATTTTAAGAGTGCTGCGACCAAATAACACTTACACATAGTGGCTCTGTATAACTTAACATTATATCTCACATTTCACACATTCTGCAGTTAGGATAAAATCAGTCACGTGGCAAAGAACCCATCCCTGAGAAACTTTGATAAAAAATACAAAATAAAATAAATACAATTAAATGAAATTCAGATTTAAGTCATTGAGACGTTACAACTTATTGCTCGAATTCGAGCAATTGCAAAGTATTACAGGCGTTTTTTTCAAAACGAATAACAGTAAAAATTTCCGATGAATTAAAAGAGTCAACTCAAAGATAATGTTATCAATCACTCCACTCCAGTTATCGAAACTGAAAACGAACTCGCTCTGAAAATGAACGTTCTTGTATGTATCATGTGTTTACAATGAACAGCTGTAATTAATACAAATTATTTGTCTGTTAAGTAAACAAAATATTTTCTACATAAGAAATACATTGGGATTTTGATGACCTGTAGGGCAAAGCTAAAGTGTGAATAACTAAACAAGAAATAAAGGCAGCCATCAAGGAAATGAAGAACCACAAGGCCGGAGGAATAGATGAAGTACCTGCAGAGTTTTTCAAAAATAGCCCACCAATCTCAGAAGAAATCATGTATAAATTGTTAAGAAAAATATGGGATGAGGAGAAGATACCTGAGGACTGGAGAACAGGGTTGCTAGCCAAACTGCCGAAAAAGGGTGACCTTACACAATGTGGCAACTGGCGGGGAATAACTCTCCTCAGCACTGCTAGCAAAATAATTTACAACAGGTTATTTATTAACAGGTCTTGTACATATATTTATTGTTGAAGCATCCATCCAATGAAACATATTTTATTATTCATATGTGATTGTTTATAGAAAAGTGCTTAATACTATTCACAGGTTATAAGGGTTTTAATTATTAATTTAAAGGAGTAGTTCTGATATTTATGAATATATCGATTCCGCTATTGAACTTAATATCTACATTAAACATGTCAGCTTATAAGTTGAGGAAGGTTGAGGTGGCTTACGAGCTTAAAATCAGAGGACTGTAACGTGTCAAGGGTAGGGGAGGGGTAGTTTCCTTTAGAATACGTTACAAAAGATAATTTGCCAAGGATAGCTAGTCGAGCGGGGAATTATACTTCCAGAGTCCAACTCTCCAAGTAGCATTCACCTGATTAAAATACGCTAGAGAGGTGTCAACAAGGCTACAGTATGCATTTAGACCACTAGCGTATTAGAGTCACTCAGATGTAAATATGTGGAAGGTAAACCAACCACTCAATCAGGTTTCAGTTTTATGTGTCATCACACGACTCTAATACGAAATAGGAAATAGCCAATCACACAAAATAGACCACAGAGCAAATTAAATTTTTAATTGGTGGGAAAAAATCTACTTTAGTACTTTATGTGGTCTTAAAGGATATTTAGTCAAGGAGCCTAATCTGAATAATGGGTTGCACTGAATCTATATCAAGATCACTTTAAATATAAGGCCAAAAGCTATTTCTCTACTTCAATACTGTTTGCTTTAATTACTATTTTTTTTTAAAGGAATATTTGAACAACCAAGGAAGGGAGTTTGGTTGTCCACAAGGACGGTCTGTTCGGTATTGATAGGTGTCGGTTGGTTAGTTAAGTGATATGGTGTAGGTCTGTAAGTCAGCAAGTTACGTTGGGTGTATCGCCAAGGAGGGTAAATAAAAGGTGCAATGAGTTTTATACAATCAAGCTATAGAGTAAAATGCAGAGAAAATTCAGATCAACAAATATCAAACACTAGGGTCAGCTTGCTAGCTTACTAAACTACAAGCAGGTATTAAAATCAATCAAGCAATGCACCCAAAATAAATGACAATACTTACTCTAGCAGTTTATAGCTAATATACAAGCTAGACAGATGATGATAGGTATAGCTACAATAACACCAGTTTAAATAGAAAATCAAAATATCACACCCGTGGAGTGATTACTCCTATAATATCCTACGGTCGAACCTAGTGAAATTTCACTCCGATAAAAAGGAAAATAAACCCTATATTTTGGTAAGTTATCCGATACCGAAGGAATCTACGGGACTAACTTGTAAGGTTGGTTCGGAAGGATCGGGGTGGCCTACCCGTGGAATGTGTACGGGTTGTCCCAAGGAAGTTATTGTAGGTTAGACAGGCTTCTGGAACTCACCCGGTTGGGATGAATGAGTTCCCAAGGAAATGTTACAAAGTAGCCCTTCGTAGCCGACTAATCTAATCTAACTCGTTTAGTCGTATTCGAAATAAAACGAGGACTAACTTGGCGTTACCCTATCTTTATGTATCGTATCACTCTACTGTGAAAATAAAATATAATAACTTGATTTCTCGCAATTAATTAAATATTATAAAATTAAAAATATAAGATGCAAAAGATTTGCCGCCCTAACACCGTTTTAGGGGATGAAAGGTATATGGGTTTCCTGTGGTTGGAATACAGGACACCTCACAGGAGTTTTTATTTTGGGATCGACAGGAATTATGGTTCTCGCTCGGAAGGAACTAGCGAGACCCCAAGGAATATCGAATTAAA